AGGGATGACTCAGACCAGGACGAAGGCTACGAGTGGGGCCCGGCTACAGATGTGTAGCAGCACCGCTGGCCTCTGCCCCCCGGGCAGCCGGGCCCCTTGGGCCAGCCCTGCCGCAGCCCCACGCCACCGGGTCCACGTGACAGTGCAGGTAGTGCCACGCAGCACCCCACGGCCAGGCTGGGTTGGGCCTAATCCTGCTGTACCCCTCACCACCCAGCATTGCCAAGTGCCTCCTTCCCCCTTTTGGCCACGGCCTCTGCTGCTGGAATAAAAGGGATGTTTTGATCGGGAGGGGCTGATCCCACGCGTGCTGGCTGGCAGCGCACACCCAGGCAGCAGCGTGGCCTTGCTGGGACGTGGGCACCCCTGCAGCCGGACACCTGCCTGCCCCAAGAGGCAGCAGTGTGGGAATCATGCTTGGGTTGTGCCAAAGCCTGGCACCGCAGCAGGCTCAGGGTGCATGCCCCAGCGGTCCTGAAATGCGGCCTCCCACGTTCCCCAAAACTTTTATTTTCTACATCAACCAAGCACACAGGCAAAGTCAGGTTAGTGCTGCCTTGGCTGTAGGGGCCCAGAGACCCACTCATGAAAAGACACATCACCAGGGGCTGGTCCTTGGGGCTCATGAGCCCAAGCTGCCGGGGATGTGGGACCGGGCAGTGCCGTGTTCCCTGTCGCTGCACCGAGGGACAGCCCCAAGGGCTGTGACCCAGGGGCCAGGCTGTGTGTGCAGAGCAGTTAAAGGCAGCACCAGGGAAAAGCAGAGGTTTCCCAGCTCGGTGCAACAGGTCTAACAGGGAGTTCGTCTGCACCCTTGACAGGCCCCTAGCAAAGCCAGGGAGGAGGAGCGGGTGCTGCTGCCCTTAAGGCTGAGTCTGGGAGCTGCCAGCTCTCCCTTGGGTACCAGTGCGCACCCACACACTGCTGTGCAGGGTCAGCGCTGCTCTGGGGCCATGCTAGGGCGAGCCCCGGAGCTGTGCTTCCAGCACCATCCCCACATGGGGAAAGGCACCATTGGTGAGTGTAAAAGCACTATCTGTGGTGACTGGATGGGGTGACCTTTCACGTGGGGTCCCCTCTCCTCCTGCCAGCACCAGGCCAAGGCGAGGGACCCTGTGAAGCAGCAGGACAGGCACCGTGCAGGCACTGTGAGGCAGGGAGGGGTGAATGGAGGGGGAGGAGGTGCCCAAACCGTGGCACCGTGGGCCCTGGCACTGCTCAGCTGGGTATCAGGCCCCCACAGTCTCCCACTGTGTCCTGAGTAAAACTTCGGAAGAGGCCCTGCTAGGGAGCAGAGGACTCCGATGAGGGCGCTGGGGCAGGAGGCAGTGCCTGCTCTGCCCTCGCAGCCCCGGGCTCGCTCCTGCCTGGCCCCAGGCACATGCAGCGACAGCCGGGCACGGCCAGCGGCTCAGAGGAAGACAGGCTGCTCCTGCCCAGTCAGCAAGCGGTATGTGGAGGCCGGCATGGTCTTGATGTGGACCTAGGTGGAGACACGCAAATCAGCTGGGAGACACCAAACCCCAGGCTGGAGGGTGCTGGGGTAAAACCCTGAGCCCAGCCTGCTGTGCGTGCAGCCGCAGCTGCCCCGTGGCACAGGGGCCCTGGCCATCACCCAGCCCAGGAACAGCTCACCTCGCTGACTGCCTGCGTGAGGATCTGGATGATCTTCTCGTGGGGCGTTGCCACCACGCTCTGCCCATTGATCTCGATGATGCGGTGTCCCACACGAATGCCACCTCTCTCTGCGATGCCCCCACGCATCAGGCTGCAGATCTGGGGAGCAGGGAGCGCTGGTAAGATCAGAGCTGTGCCCACAGCCCAGGGCTACGTGCAACCTCACCCCAAACCCTCTCATCTGTGGCAAGAAGTCTGGACTTGGGCGCTGTCTCCTCCAGCCTGTGGGCATGCAGCGAGGGCAGGGATGTCCCTTTGCATTGCTGCCACTGGAGCAATGTGCTGAGGGCAAGGGCAGCCTGCAGGCTTTTGCTCCCCTGGCAGACAGAGAGCTCAGCTCCCCCCATCCACCCATCAATCCCTCATGCTCCCATCAAGCCTGGGCTGCAGAGCCAGAGCTTCTCCCTGGGGTGACGGCTCCTGTGCACCTGTGGGGTAACCACATCCCCAATACTATTTGGAGCATCGGTTGGTGCGCAATGCAGCCGTGCCACCCCCTCCACTGCCCACCCACCCCATCAACTCCTACTGGTCCTGGAAATGCTCCTCTCTGCCTTTTCAACGCAGCCACTGTGGAGCCCAGAGCAGGGAGTGGCTGGGGCACTGGGGACAGCAACAAATGTCACTAAGGTCATGACAAGAAAGCCGGGAAGAAACCAGCACCCTCAAAGCAAACAGCTAAGGAGCACCAGGGAGATGGATCCAACCACCGGTGCTGCAGGAAAGCTACCAAGAGCCTTTTGCTGTGGCACAGCAGAGCCCTGTAAAACCTCAGCCCTGGCAGGCACAAGCAGCGCTGGAGCTATGCGCTTGTCCACGCGGACACAGCCAGAACCGTGTGTCCCTCTGCCAGACGGGCGGCTGAAGCCCTTGGCTGACCCCGGCCTGGCCCATCTCCTGTCCCCATGGGCACTCACCACGCCGTTCTCAACACAGAAGCCCAGCTGGTACTTGGAGTCGGGGCGCCGGATGACAGCCGTGGTGACAGGAGAACAGTGCACAATGTTCAGTGTCACCTCTGTCTGGTGCTTCAGCTCCTGGAAGATGGGATGGGGCTTTGTCAGACTTTGGAGAGCTACTCGGCATGGCTGAGAGGGGCAATGCAGCCATGTTGCTCATGGGACGGCTGAGGATTAGCAACCTGTTTTCAATGGGGAAACAGAGGCACACACAGGGATACTGCCATGCTCAAATTCGGAGAGACTTATAAATCCAGTCCAAGACGTCCCACTCTGCCCCTGAGGGCACACTGTCCTTGCTTTCATCTCCCTCCTGCCCAGGAGGTAGATGCAACAGGTTCCCTCCAGGACAGGTGCCTGCCTCCTCACCCACCCTCCTCCTTGGGCAGAGCCCTGCCCACACCCTGCCGCAGCAAGTTTAGTCCCCAGCTTTGTCCCTGCCTTGTCACATCCCTTCCTCCCAAGGACCAAGAGCAGGGACTGTCGCAGCCCACAGGACAGGTATGGCCCCCCACACTCCTGCCCCCACAGCCTCCTATTGCCCATTCACCCACGAGCTGGGAGACTCG